AGTCGAGTGGAAGCCAAATGTGAAACTACTAGTTAGGCGTTTACGGATGACATGGAGGAGATTTTGTGTGAGGAATAAATGAAAGCTTGTGTGCAGGGATGGATGCAGATTAAGCAGACTGGAGAGAAGAGAGTGAAATGGTGATGTCCTACTGAAACCCTGTTTTCTATTGGAAACCCAAGGGACAAATAAAAATTCTCATACTTCAGTTTACTTTTCTTATAAGACAAGAACATACAGTGCTTGAAATAGTCTTTAAAATCTCAAAATAAAAAAAAGTTTGTCCTCTAATCAGACATAACATGGATAATTTACGATGTAGACCAAAATTGAGTTACTTTTTCTTCACTGTAGAAGCCAGAATTAAGTGGTGGTGCCCCCTACTGTCAAAGGTAGAGAAAAATAACTGTCATGGAGATTATTCAATTAGGTTCATAAACATTATGATAAAAATTAGTTGCCACTAAGGCAAAATACAAAGCAAAACATTATACCAGTAATATATACAGAGAAGATAACATACAGTACTAATGAAAAAAATATCACTGGAAGTATTGCAAGTGAAAATATGTGTTCCAAAATATTCATAAGAAAAAAGACTAGCGAAAAATGTTGCTTTAACGCATCAAGAAACAGCTGAATCACAGAAATAATAAAATATCTAAAATTCAAAATATTACTTATTAATATTGAGTAGTACTACTCTAAAATCATAAAAATGAGTCCAGGGGAAAACTTCATCTGGAAGTAGGTGACAGATATTCCTTAGAAGATTAATTTAACAGTCACTGAAAGCAGAGATGTAGGTTATAGAAGCATAAGTAGTAGCAAAGGTAAAATCATTGAAAGGGTAGTTCAGCAACTAACCAATGAAGTACACAAAGAATATGAGGAATGTAAACTTGTAAAATTAAAGTATGCTGAAACATCGAGATAGTTGGAAGGCTGAATGGAATGAATTTGAAAGTACCTCTGTTCACGGACCAAAATTAATGGATCCAGAAGCCTCCATTCTCATCCAGAACAGAATTACCGGCACAAACTTCAAATCGAGGTGAACTATAAATGACTCAAAAAAAGTCGTAAATGATGGGGCCGTCCAAGTCGGACCCATTGACTCAATGGTAACATGCTAACCTAGGGACCTTAACGTCCTACTTTCGAACTTCACAGGGGTCAAGGGTTTGCGTTGCTATGTCTCTTACTAGGGAGAAATAGCTGTCCAGTTCTTCCAGGTTCGCATTGGTTTTCTAAGTGATGTTCATTGGTGGTGAGTAAAAGTTTTAAATATCTGTCAATTAGTCATACAAACATGGTTTGTGATTGGTGTTTTCTTCTAAATATTTCATCATCTTGAGACCAGCAGTTTCATACATTTGTCTTCTAACCTTGTAGTTGATTTATAAACTGTCTTCCTTACACCTAAAAACTGCTGCATGGTCTCGAAGTTTTCTCACCAAAATATCTTCATCTGAAGAGTCTAATTTATTCATACCTACAGATGTTGAAGTGCATGAATATAACAGAGGATATTGGATGATGCTGAAAACTTAGTCAATATTTCCATAGATGGAGACGAAACAGTGACGCACTCTCCCTACTGCGGTGTTTATCGTAACCGTTGTAGTTAATTTTGTTTGTGATATTCGTTTTATGTTCTTGAGTTATTACTTCCGCTTTTATACGCAACACAGAATGAGGTAGAAAGTCAGTAGGAGAGTGAAAGAGGGGGGGCGGGCAGTTGCATAACGAAGTGAAATACGAAGGTTAGGATGAAAGTAATGTGTAGACACATCTGTGTAACTGAGATCAACTGTGAGTCATATGACCTAGAGTCTGTAATCACTGATTTCGATCGTCGGAAGGACTACAACCAAGAAGTCTATCCCGCTGTATATGATTCTGATAAGCAGTCAATGATCGCATGAGCTTATGCCAAGTTTTGGTCTGAATGGATCTGGTTATCTAAAGTAAATGTATTCTCACTGTTGTCTGTAAGTTAGCTGGATTCCATGCTCAGCATCTCCTCTTGAGATTGTTATCAGTTTAATAACATCTTACTGAAATTGGTCACCGGACTTCCAAAAATTACCTCACATTCAATCCCTTCAAATATCAGATGATTAATTTTATTTTAAGACATGAACAAGACTGACGTGAACTGCATTAGTTCAATAACTCTTTTGTACAGAACTAATCAAATGTGATGCACCTTTGCTTGTTCTTTTCTTCTAATCTTTCTTGGACCATCATTTCTTAATAATTTCCAGGAGAATTCTTCGCTTGACTTTTTATATTCGGAAAATCAGACTGTTTAGCATAACTCAGCCTCCGTTCTTACTTTTCACTAATTTCTGTGTTTTTCCTATGCTTACTTATGGTTCCACCTTATTCTTTCTTGGACTTTGGTAAAAAGACTACTCTGTATTGTATAGGATTTTGAAGGCTATTAGTAGAGCAAGTAGTACACCAATAATCTTACTGATAAATACGTTTTTCGACAGACATCTGAACTGTTGTACAGAGATGGTTAATGTTTATGGGAACTGAAGCCCTTTAAAGATCATAATTAGTGATGATTGAACATGATCAGTTAATAAACTTTATGTTAGTTACTTTGGTTGTGTACCTGACTGTGATGTTGGTATATCTACTAATAGATTTCTGACTAGATGTTCAGCATGGGTTATCAAACTACCGTTGCTTAACTCAATACAGAGAACAGATGATTATTTTCATTGTATTCCTATGAAGCAAGTGTGAATATTTACTTTTAACTGGACGTTGCGGATTATCTGAGCTGTGTGTAAGGACAGGGAAAATATTAGTAACAGTAGTAATAATAATACTAGTGATAATAATATATTGGTGAGATGAATGGGGATTTTTAATTTAGAAGTAGTATTCATCATGGACTGACCTCAGTTGGGGGACCATTGAAAATCTGGGAGCACTGGACAGCTATTTCGTCGTAGTATGGGACTCCTCAGCAGTACGCGTTCGCCGTGAAACCTGAGGGTCCTGAGTTCGATCCCTAACCAGGTCGTGGGTGCGTACTGCTGAGCAGTCTCATACTAGGACGAAACAGCTGTCCAGTGCTCCCAGATTTTCAATGGTTCTCCAACTGATGTCATTCCATGATGAATACTACTTCTAAATGATATATTTACTTTATTCTGACCCATAATTTTGTCTAAAGTACAGAATTCTCATGATGTGATATTGCATAACTTTGGTTGTTGTACAACACTTCTCAAACAGATATTATGAATGGTTCTGTTCAGCAGTACATAATAAAGAATAACAGGATTATTGAAATGTTTAATGACTTCAGGGTTAGTATATCTGTTCGCTATTGCAAAGACTATGTCTAACAGGATTTTCTTTCCACAATACACAAGCTAAATAAGGTTGTATGGTTGAATGGTTGTATGTTGTTGTGGGTGCATCAAGTTGAATATGTTTACTACTTGTCCTCCCTGAAGATAGGCATGGAGAGAGGTGCAGATGCAGAGGATGCTTATCGCCAAGTAAAATATTTTTAGCCATCTCTCTACAATAGTTCAGATACATTTCCATGATAACACTTATAAGCACTGTGGTGTACCAACTGCTCTGGAAAATACCTTCAAAATCCGATGCAATATAGAGTAATCTTTTTCCAGGAGTCGAGGAAAGAATAAGGTGGAGCAATAAGGAAGTATAGACAAGATATTGGAGTTTATGAAGCATATATATACATATGTATCTTCATATAGTGAAAGTATTGGGTTATACAAATGTAAGTTAAGTTTTAGATATGAGAGTAAAACTTGTGAACTGTGGTAGACTGTAATTCCTCTTTAATTGTCTTGTTAATCGCATCATATAATGAAATGATTTCGTTCACTGGATGACGTTTTATAAACACATCAAGGTAGTCATACAACATTCTGGTTTTAATGCATCGTCCTGTTTTTTTGTTTCAATCTGTCATTATTAGGATAAGAATTTTCCATAAATTCGGATTTGGTGTTGAATCAATCCTGTCAGAAGTGCCAACTCGATAATCAGGGTTTGAATTGATAATCTGTCTGCCAGCCAAGATGAATGTAAAATAGTAGACCCTTTAAAACACAATCTAGATAGTGGATAGTGATTAATAACTCAAATCGTGTTTATCGAATCAGTAACATACACTTGTATTGAGAATTATTCAACACCGATCTCAGGTACATACAGAATTCCTCTAACCAAGAAAACCAGGGGATGGAAATGTGGTAAAGCCATAAAACTAAACGAGAAAGTTGTATGGTCACCTTGATAGTAACATCAACAACGAACTGTGCTCAAAAAGCTATCCACTAGATGATGCTATTTCACTGTACACTACATCCATTTGACAAACAGATTAGAAAACGCCTAATTTGCTTTACTGAATGAAAGTAAAACGGAGGTATTTCAAAGTGTGTACAAGATTTAGCGTATTCTAATAGTTAGGCAGATGATAAAGTATTTCCTCGGTATTGTCTCTTCAGTCTTTTACATGTATCTGACTAAATGTATAGAAGCGCTGAACTTAGGACATTAAAAATTCATCTCAAGTTATCACAGTTTTCAGTGAAAAGAATTACAACTATGTATTAATGGGATAATGGTGATAGTTTGGTGGCATTGTCTAGGGTTTCAACACTCCTAAACAAGGTTAGACGACTTTCTCCGCGCTTACTGCTTGAATGAGATCGTCTTTTTGATGGGACGTCTACCCTAGGATGTTGAAACTTGAAGAAAACCAAGTGGATATCATCTTAATCCTCAGATTTAGCTATTCTCTAACGTTGTGACAAAAGACAGAGCATAGAATGAAAGGTTTTACAGTTATGAAGTCTTTATACAAGATACACAATAACCTCAGCAGCTATTATAAATTAATATTTTTGCATATAGTTCAATTTGCAGTTCCTTTACCACCAAACATCTAAAAACATAATGTTGTATTTTTATTATCTCAAACTGTTTAGGAACAACTTACTAATGCCCAATATGCAATCACATTAGCTAGACGAATCGGTGCAAGTGTCTATGCAATGCCAGAAGATCTTGTTGAACTAAAACACAAAATGATAATGACAATATTTGCTTGTCTAATGGCTGTTGACTTGAAACAAAACCGTAAAAGTTCAGATTCATGGAAACGAGTAGAAAAATTAGAGATTGTTGAGAATAAATCATTCCATAATTCTGTTCATTCAAGTAGAGAATCGATGGAGACAAAAAGTTACGTATACATGGGAGTGAATTGTAAAGACGGTTCAAACTATAATAATGATGACAATGATGATGGTGATAACAATGATATTGAAGAAGATGTAACCGAAAATTATGATCTGAAAAAGCCGTGTTCAGGACCTATTCTTCTTAAAGACACCCCCAGACCACCTCCAGAAAAGATGTATGTGAAATCATTCAAAGTGAATTTGTCAAATTGTCAAAAATCCCCTATAACCTGTTTAGATGACACTAGACAACAATATCTTCTTTGTTCCCCTTCAGGAGATTGTTTAGAAGTAGAAAGTTTGGACAGCTTAGTTACAGCGAACCTTGTTAAAGCAGGCGGTCTACTCAGACCTCCTTCTCCTGGTCGTTGCCATTCACCAGTTAAAAATCATAATGTTAATTATCACTGTGTGAAATCTTCGTCAAGATCTTGGTCACCAGTTAATATTATTGACATGAATGACATAAACAAAACATACTCTAAAAACATTATGCATCTATCAAAATCTACACCTTCAGTTGATCAAATTGGTATCAGTAATACTCGAAGAAGTTTTTCACCAACACTGTCAACTGGTAAGCAAAGTTCACACTCTGAAGCTCAAAGTCCACATGAAAGAAGACGAAATGCTACTGGTGATCGAGAATTAGCATCAACTACAGAAAAAGAATTTACTGAAGAAAAAACTATTCATAGTACTTTATACACATTAGTCTATCCTAAAGAGCATTACATTGATTTAAAACCTTCTAGGTATACAAACAATTTGAATAGTACTATTAAAACAAAGTCATATTCAACAATGACGACAACAATAACAAATAATCGACCACATGGTGGAGGTCGTTTATTTCTTGCAACTGGTGCAAGAAAAGATTGAATACCTTGATAATTGACCATTGAAAATTGAACGTTGTTTTAATTAAGTATGCACAATCTTTGAACTGATTGTTTTGAATGAATTATAATTATTATTTTGGTTGCTGGGTGTTAAATATCATTTAATTGTGAAGTTATATATATATATATATATATATATATATATATATATATATATATATATATACATTTGAATCTATGAATATTTGTTGAGACATTGAGATTATCAGTCGTTTTCGGCTAGTAACATATATATATATATATATATATATATATACATGCTTTTTGATTACAGCAAACTAATCCTTTTAGAAGATAATTCTTCATTTTTAGTGGGTCAAACAGAACCAGTAGGTAGAGTTAAATTTCCTAATTTCTGTCTCAATTTGTTTTTATGGAAAAAGGGAAGCGAATTTGTATACCACCCTTCTTTGTTGTGATTGATTATTTTAAAGGAAAGTCATATATATATATATATATATATATATATATATATATATATATATATATATATATATATAATATACTTTATTTGCTAGATGATTTTTTATTCTATTTTATATTATTTTTGTCATCATTCCGTGATCATTCTGTTTGTTTAGATAAACCTCTTTCCATTCTAAAAGCGTGGAATAGGTAGGAGTGGTGCTCTTGTCTAGACTATGAAATAACTTAAGTAAGATTCTTAGAAGTGATGTATGTTTGCTCAAGTTTTAAGAACGCTAAGATTGTTGTTACCTGCTTTCTATCGAATATATATGACATATATCTACTATGACCAATAATGCGACTTAACAGTCTATGAGTGATAAGAAATCTGACGTGAAAAATGAATTGACTCTAGACGGTTATTAGAACGTCGATTACCACAACAACAACAGTGCCACCAACATGCAAAGATAAGAAAAGAGGCCAGACGGTTAATACAGAGCTTTAGCTGTCTCAATAACAGTCAAAAACACTTGAGAACGATGCTGAATATGTACATTTTCAGACGACCTTGACAAGATGAAATCCGCAAATAGGATAAAATGTTTAACAACCAATGAGAATTCAGCCTTCAGAGTGGTGGGCAAGCAGCAATGATAGGTTATTTGAGGATTATATAACAATTGACCAATCTAGACAGCACTGTTTCAACTGCAGGCGTCACTGACGAGGACGTCAAAGCCAGGGGCGGAAAAGGAAGACAGGTTTTTATTAGCCTGAAACCAGTGTGGCGCGTTACGAAAGGGATTTCCAACAAACTTCAGACACATTCATCAACAGCTGCTGCCTACGCTCGTTACTGAAGATCAGATGGCCAGAATAATAAGAGTAAGCAAGCAGGAACTCACTGTGGCAGCGAACTAACTAACCAAGAAGCTATCGCCCAACAAATATACAAAAGAAGAAATTGGAGACGGATTGGAATGAGCACACAGAGAGATGGACGACTGGGAAAATTACGCGCCAGGCCCTCGAGTAGAATCCACAGGGGGAAAGACGAGTTGGTTGTCCGAGGGTGACATGCAGGAGATCGTACGAGGAAGAAATGAGAGGTTGTGGGCTGTCATAGAACCAGGTTCAAAAGTTTGCAGAGAACAGATTGCACTGAAGACGTGCTAGTGAAGCCCTATGTTCCATTAGGAACCCAAGGGACAAATAATAGTAATAATAATAAGGCAATGGAATGAAAACCCATAGGAATTACTTATGTCGTAAATGCTGCTGTATGTCTCTGTCAGCCACCAGACTAATAAAGTATGGTCTAGACATACATTGGAGATAAAGATTCACTTGATAAGGCAACAAAGTAATCTGTAAGTTTATAAAAAACAGGAGGCTGTCTCTCTTATGTATTTACACAGCACTTTTTTGTTCTTGAATTAATGATTTTTGATTGATCGCTTCACTCTGTGAACTGCTTCACACCTAATGTCAATTCCCTATCGTTATTCAACTCCTAACGCCTATCTGGGCAACAGACAAATCAGTAAAAAACGTCTTTATAAAGGATCTCGTCTAGTCTGTGAAGTTCAGACTAGACTTCTGTGCAAAATGTTGGAATTAGTTGATTTCAAACACTCTGTAACCTGTACAAATACAAAGTATATCTAATGTGAACATTTTACTCAGAGCCAAATATTTGTGATACTAATCGATCGAATTTTGATCAAAATTTTTATAAAATATAATTCATTTCGTTGCTTCGAAGGTGTAAAAATTGGCTAAGATCTAGTTTGAAAGACTTCATGGTACGGTTGACAAAAACTAAGTGGTCGACAGAAATACAAGGGTGTTGTGTATTTTTCTTTTTAACAAATCATTATTTAAGGCCTGAAAATTTTGTAAAATGAGCAAAGCGTTTTTCGTTCTGAAATGCAGCTGAGTAAGTCCCGTGAAACTTTTCAATCTAAAAATAAACTACTTGCAAGTAGACACCCTTGTCCACAAAAAGTTAATGTCTTTGTGATCATGCCCTGGCGAGCAAATATCATCTATCAAATACTTTGAATACAAAATAGACTTTTCTGGCCTACTGATTAAAGCTTGAAACAGTTGAAACAAATTACATTTAAGAAGAACTAATTACCCTCTTTCTTCGATACATATGGTTTGCGCTAAAGTGCAAGGAACCAGCCTTTCAAATCAAGTTGAAAGCCTTCATGGAAGCTGGTGATGGACCACAGTTCAAGTTCAACACCCAGAACAGAAACTGAAAGATGAAACTACAAAGGACATCTTCAACTCAGCTGTCAGGACAAAAAGGGGGACATTAAGCTATATTCCTGAAGAAACCTGTGTGGAAGAACACTGGGACTGTTTGATAGATATGTGGAAGGAAACCTGCATAACCTGAGTAGGAAGGAAGAAAGAACAGGACAAAGAATGTATCCTGATGGATGCATGGAAACTGATAGAGGAGGGAGAGGAAGGCGGTGAAGCAGAAGATGAACCAGTGCAGTGGAGACATAAAAAACGAAAAGAGAATCTGAGTTTAAGCTACACAACACTGGATAAAGAGGTGAAGAAGAGTGCACGCAAAGACAAAAGACACTTCTTCAACACACTTGCAAGTGAATTAGAACAGGGAGCAGGTAAGAGAGACAGAGACCTAACAACACCATATCAAATAACCAGGTTACTATCTGTGACAGCAGAGACCAACGCAGATGAAAGATAGTGAAGGGAACCTAGTTAGCAAAGAGGAGGAACAAAGAAAAGGATGAGCTGAACACCTCAAAAAACTCTTGAATCGACCACCACCGCCACCACCACCGGCAACCGCAGAAGTATCAGTAAACACAAGCTATCCGAAAAAGCAGAAGGGAAGTCCTGAACATCATAAAGTTGGTGAAAAACAGGAAACCAGCTGGACCAGATGGAATTCCACCAGAGGCACTGAAAACAGACTTAGGGCCATCAGCAGAGAGTATGCTTACACCATTATTGCAGAAGGTTTGAAGGGAATGATTGAAAAGAGGGCCGCCTTGTCAAAATCCCAAACAAGGGAGACTTAAGTCTTTGCAAGAACTGGCGAGGAATCATGCTCCTTTCCACCTAAAACGAGCAAAATATTATGCTGCATCGTCCTGATGAGACTAAAGGAAGGGCTGGATTCAAAAGGCTGACTTGCTTCAGGAAGAACAAATCATATGCGGATCAAATTGCAACGCTACGCTACGATACGCATCATCAGAGAACAGGGTATAGAACAGCCATCAATTCTCTTCCTCAGGGTCATCGACTTTGAAAATACCTTCGACAGAGTCGACGGAGAAGTTATTTCACCACTGCTTCAACACTACGGAGTACCACGAATCTTCATCAATCTCATTCAACAACTATATGAAGACGCCATATACCAAGTGATTCACAACCGAAAACTCAGTGACGCTATGAAGTGAAGACAGGAGTAAGACAAGGTTGCAGCCTACTATCACCGATGATCTTCCTGATTGTGGTCGACCGGAATTCGCAAGAAATTGTGAGCAGTGAGGAGATGAGCAGACGCTGTTTGACAGACGAAAAGACCCTAGAAGAATATTTGGATTTTGCTGCTGCTGATGAATTATATATAATGTCTTGTATCGAACAAACTCGAAGATCTACAGGCGAAGACTAACAAGTTGACAGAGGAGGCGAGGCGAGGCAGCCAAGGAAGACGGGACTTCCTTCAGGTGAACGTAGAGAAGACGGAGGTGACGAAGATACCCAACCAACAACAGCAACAAGCACCAATCACCATCAAGGGGAGAAATCTAAAGGAAGTTGTCTCTTTCACCTACCTACCTATTTTCTTAGACAGCATCGTTTCAACTAAAGGCAACACATGCACAGGTTATGATGTGATCGCCAGGATCAGTTAGGCAGCAAGACAGACCTTCATTCATCAATCTGAAATAATGAGTGTGGAGATCTACTCCACTCCACTCCACTCGACTGCAATGCATTCAGCATGAAGTGTGAACCAGATTTGGATTTTCAACACTGATGTCAGTCAAGTAAGTCAGTGCTTCTGTGTGATGATTGAGAGAGTTGGCAGTCGTTACGAAAAGCATTTCCAAGAAACCGCATATATACATCATCAACAGCTGCCACTGACACTCGCTCACTCGATACTGAAGATGAGATGACCAGGATAATAGCAATAAGCAAGAAGGAACTCTTGCTGGCTGGCTGGCTGGCTGGGTTGCAACGAACCAGCCAAGAAGCTGTCATCCAACAAATATACAGATGAAGAAAGTGGAGATAGATTGGGCATACACTGAGAAAACTATTCGGAGACATTACGCACAAGGCTCTCGGGAGGAATTCAAATGTGAAACGACTAGTCAAGCGACCGAGGCGAGGGCGACATGGAGGAGATCATGTGAGGAAGAAATAAAATCTCCTGGGTAGTGGATGGAGCCAGGTTCAAAAGACTGGAGAGAAGAGATTGCAATGGTGATGTCCTACTGAAACCCTATTTTCCATTGGAAACCTAAGGGATAAATAATAATGATAATTATAACAATCTATATACTTGACTTCAAAAGAGTTGGGGAATTGAAATGTTCACAATAAAGTAGTCAGATGCAGAAGCTTGTCCTTTGGGTTGTTCGAAATCATTGGGTCTCAGTAGAATACTAGATTCAGAGTTTATGCAAAG